TTTGTTGTTGTTGTTAGAGCGGTTGCTGGCAAATACTCACTGATCCACTTTTTTCAACTAAATTGAACTTGTCCTAATTAGCCTCTCATCCAGTCTAGAATTATTTATAATGTTCACTTTTTTGTAGGTTGGATTGGATTCAGTTCTTTCCAGAAATCATACTACTGTCATCACTGACTCAAACATTGCCAAGAGATGTACGGTTTCATTAATAAATTTTATACGCAAATGTATGTAAAGTCAGAACTGTTTATAAAATATTTCACATCAATTTCATGACCTGCCATCCCTGCCATTGGTTATACAGATAATGTGCCTTGTGGCCGTGGCTCCCTTAGCTGAGCAGTCGGTAGGAGGAGGGGACACACTTGTCCCGCGTGGTCTCGGGGTCGGGTCAGCCTTGTCACCCCACGTGATGAGCCTGGGGAGCGCAGGACCAGCAGCCCCCTCTTCACAGCTTCCTGAAGCTCCTCACACAAGCAGTCTGCAGGATCCAGGGCTTCAGTTAAAAGATAGCTTTTCCTGTGAAAGTTAGTTTTAGATTTTAATTTCCGTTGTAAATTCAAAACTTGCAAACACCTTTGTCCAAAGGAAAAATCTTACTAAAAGTCAACACATTCCCGAGACCTTCCCTAAACTGGATCATTTTCAGTCCTGTGTTTTAGAAACCTCTTCTAATTCAGTAACTGGTCAAAAGCTCGTCTGTGCATTGTTCGAAGTACGTTTCTGTTTTTTTTTTTTTCTTCCATTTTTTCAGTTTTATTAGGTAGAATTGTTACAGTTTGCACGTATACAATATACTGCATGTAATTTCTGTTTTTATTCTTATCCAGTCCTATATCAGGAAGCGGTTCTATGCTGCAGCTTTCCAGTTGCAGAGTTGCTAATATATTTTGAATTTAGGGTGATTTAAAAATCTGCCCTACTACATTTCTCTCATAAGCAGGACCTCCTAAATGTGTCTCATTTAGATTAAAGTTCCAGATTTAAAGTGGAACCGTTAAGATGGTGGCGTAATCACGGAAATATTACACATAGCTTATGTGTTAAAGTTCTGAATTACAGTGGAATCCAAATAGATCTTTGCTTTTTGTAATGCTGAGAAAAAACAGGTACTGTCTAAGTACTTTACTGATTAAGAAATTAAAATACTAGAAAGTTAGAAATAAGTGCTGTGTCTAAAAATGGTTATGTAAAAATTCATAAACTCAGGATTTCTTAAAAACTGTAAGTTAGTGAAGTTATACAAGGAGTGGTTCTAGTCAGAGACATGGAACATTGGGGATTCTTTCTTTTAATCTGGTCTGTTTTCAAACTGTCATTGCTCATTGAGAGCTTTAGCTCTAACTGGATGACTGCATTTGTGCAGAATAGTACGCTGCTTGAAACTGACTAGTGAAAAGGGTGAGAGGTCCCGTGCCCAGGGTTTCTACTCCCATGCACGGTGGTGGTTCCTCCTTGGCTGAGGCAGGAAGCCTTCTTTTGGGGGGTTATTTAAATATGAAAATACATTTTTTAAAATTCCATAAATTAAATGAGTTAAAAGCAATGAATTCCAAACCATTATTTCTCTTCCTGCTTTTATACAGGGTTTCCCCAAAGTTTTTTCTTACATAAAGTGGAATTTATACAGACTGCTTGTACTTGTTTGCTTTGCCCATTGTCTTAGACTAAAGTGAGGAGAAGACTTTACCTCTTTCTGTTTTTCTTATATTTAGTGGATCCAGATTTTAGGATGTCCAAAGAATATTTTTACCAGCAGTTTATTATACATTAAGTAGTTTCTTTTAGAGTAATGAGGGTTTACAAAAGAAAGAATTTCATGTTGTTGATACTTTAAAGAAAGAAGTCTTCAGTGCTATCTTCAAGCACATTTCTTTAAAGGTGCAATAATTGTTAATAATCTCTCTTACTGCATATTGATACTGTTTTCCTTACCTGAAGATATACTTCAGTGAATGTTATTTTTGTAGCCTTTAATGGTCATCAGGTTGTTTATTATATGGGTGTACAAGCTCTTTACCATTGAAAGACAGAAGCCGTTGAAATCGGGGCCGTTTCGGATACCTTGTAGAAACCGGCTGGCGCTATTGTGAACATGAGCATCGTATGAAAGCGTGCTAATGCGGGATGAAAGAAGGATCCTCATTAAAATCTCGCTGCTAAACAGTTTAAGTGACAAAAACCTTACCAACAGCTTGAGGCTACAGGCCAGTCCCGGTCATTCCTGAGGAGATGTGGACAAGTGCGAAGATGCCAACACCTGCCTTTGCTGTCCTGAGAGCGCAAAACGCCGCCTGGAGTCCCTTCCCTTAAGTCGTGTTAGAGAAGACGAGTCTTAGAATAATCAGTGCCTCGGCTTTCCGTTGTGAATTTCTCAAGTGTGGAAGCACTGGGTTTGTTAACTTCGGGAAGTACTTCTGGTAACAGCCATCGTATTGTATCTGTTTTCCGGGAAAGGACTGGGGTTTGGTCAACTGGCATATTCTCATTGGTGAGATTCCTGGTGACCGTTGCTGGGACGCGCGGCGGTGGCCGGTGCGGGGCTCCCACTTACAGCCAGGCTGCCGTGGGTCACCGCCGTCCGGCATGAGTCACTCTCGGGCCAGCCGTGTGTTCGGACTCCCGCTGAGGAGTGCCCACGTCTGAGGTTTTATTTAGGACCATGTTTCTGGGGTCTAGAAAGGCGGAGCTAATACTCGGCTGTAGTGGAACGGCCAGTTGGTGGGACTGCTGTGCGCGCCGGGGTGGCAGTGAGCGGACCTCTGGATGGCCTCGTGGCCCCCCGCAGGGCCTCGGATGAGAACGGGCTGGTGATCAGTCCACACTGCCCGTTTGAGGGGGTGGGGTCCCCTGGAAGGATGCGGAGGAAGCCGCCTTGCCCCGACTGTACCACCGGCCCAGCTCGTCGGCGCGAGGAGAACCAGGACACCTGAATAGAAGAGATACCTGAGCGGGTCCAGGAGTCGGAGCGCAGGGCGGAACTGCTGAGCCGGTGGAGGAGGCGCCCGAGGGTCACGGCGGGGACGGGGCTGAGTTGAGGTCGCCCGCCCGCCCGTCCTCCTTCCGCGCGCGCGCTGCACGCGGTGTGGACTCGCCCGCACGCCCCGCACGGCCGCTCCGCGGGGTGGGTGTCCGCGCGCATCCGTCTCAGCCGTTTAGCCGGCTTGTGGCTTAAAACCGTCTTTGTTACCTGTTACGTGTCTTCATGGAGACTCCTGAAATCACCTGCTCGCTTTAAGGGGTAATTAAAATGATACCCCTTAGTAACGGAAAGAGTAACGTATAGCTCAAGAGGGGAAGCCTGGTAATTTTGTACCAAAGGAGTTCTCAAAAGCTGTGTAGAAAAAACATGCATTATTTTTCTTCAGAGCTTCTTTGTGGGGACGATGTCGTGTTGTAAGGTCTGCCATGGGACTGGGTGGTCGCCTACAGCAGGCTGGAGGCGCAGAGGCCGGGCCAGCAGCCGGCGGTCGGGAGAAGGGCCGGGGTGGGGTGGGGCCCATCCGACCAGAGCCGACCCGACAGAGTCGCGGGGCCGCTGTGGGCGGGATTTCTGGGTTGGTGGTCCTGAGAAGGCAGGAGACCCAGTGGCCAGTGCAGTTTAAAAGGCAAACTCCCAGAATGGAAATTTAGTCGAAAGCTATTTGAATTTCATGGATATTTCAGAGTTGACTCAGGAGTGGAATGGGAGTCCTGTTACCCGAAGTTAAGGACCACGGCAGGTTGTCTGAAAGAAGGGGGGACCGTGGTGGCGTCAGAAGACCTGCGGAAACTGCCATCAGATGCCTGTGTCTGGACGCCACTCCCCTTTTGCTGTTCCCACTCATTTCTTCTAGAATATCCTCTTCCTGTAGAGGCAGACCCTAGAGGTACTGCAGGTGTGGTTGCAGAATTCTGCAGTAAAGCCGGTCACACACACTCTTGGGTTTCCTAGTGCACACAGAACTTTGTGCTCACACTGTACTGTAGTCTGTTTAGCGTGCGGGAGCACGTCTGAAAATGTACACACCTTAGTTAAAAAAGACCTTTATTGCTAAAAACGTGAAGCATCATCTGAGCCTCCAGTGAGTCATCATCTTTTTGCTGGTGGAGGGCCTGGCCCGACGCTGAGGGCTGCTCACCAATCAGCCTGGAGGTAGCTCAAGATTAGGGTGAATTTCTTAAAATAAGACAGCAGGGATGCTTGCCAGGTCAGTGAATTCCTCCTTTCACCAGTGCCTTCTCTGCAGCAGACAGTGCTGTTGGATGACATGGGATTCACAGTGGGACTGCTTTCAGAACTGGAGGCCACCCTCTCTCACCTGCCTCTGCTCTGTCAACTAATGTAATATTTTAAGTCCTCCGTGCTCATGTCAACAGCCTTCACAGCGGCTTCACCAGGAGGAGATTCCATCTCAGAACACCGCTGTCTTTGCTCATCCAGGAGAAGCAGCTCCTCCGTCGCGATGGAGAAGATGTGAACAGTCCCATCTTCAGCCTCCACATCTGACTCCAGTTCTCTTGTGTTCTCCATGTCTGTAGTTATAACAGTGACATTGGAGATCGCTGATCACAGATCACTGTAACAGATACAGTAATGATGAAAACGTTTGAAATATTGTAGTTGTTACCAAAATAACATGCAGAGATGGGAGGTAAGCAAATGCTGTTGTACAAATGGTGCCTGTAGACTTGCTTGATGGAAGGTTGCCACCACCCTTCAATTTGTAAAAAATGTAGTATCTGCAAAACACAGTAAAATGAAGTATGTCTGATTTAGAAACCTCCTTACTCTCTGCATTCTTTGTGTCTGTGAAGCCACTCAGTATCTCTGTCCTCTCCTTTCACATCTACAAAATGAACAACTTTTATTCATGTACTTTTTTTTTGTGGAACGTGTATTATGTGCCAAGCACAATCTAGGAAATAGATGCTAAATGAATGAATATTTTAGAGTTGTTAAATTATATTGATGTGATTACAAGTCATTTATTTTCCTTCCAAATTTTTTATTTCAGAGTTCACGAAATGTTGCAAGGACTCTGGAGTCCTCATGGTAGTAAAATGCCAGAAAGAAAATTCTGCATTGAAAGAATGTCTAACTGCCTAGTAAGTAGTTCCCTTAGTGTTTGGGCTTCTGGGTGTATGCGTGTGTAATGTATGTGGTAGGTAAGAGTATGTTATTTGACTCCTTACATGTAGTATATTCTGTACTTCCCAGCAAATTCATCATATTGTTGGCTGAATCTAAAATTTCAGTTTGTTAAAGATTCTTCTAAAAAAAAAGCAATACCGTATATTTATGAAGGGTCTTTCAAGTTAGGTGTGTTTGTCAGCATTTTATCTGATGATTAGGTCAGTCAACAAAAAGATACAATTTTCACATGATTCAATAAATTCCTTTTCATGAATAGGTTAATCTATAGAATACATTATAAATGGGTTTGTATTTATCTCTTCTAATGAAATGGTACTGAATTAGACTTTGGTCAGCCTTGTGATCATATAATGTAACTCCTAGAAAAGTGGCACTAAATCAAATGAAAGATACCAACGTAAATTTAGATTTTTGAAGTTAAATCATTATAAAAATAATTCTTAAATATCACGGTCACTGATACTTCATTGTAGTTTCGTGAATCTTAAAGTAACAGTGTGCAGAGTCCTCTGAATGCAGGCGCTTTCCGCTTATCCCCCCCACCCCACCCCGTTTTATTAGCCACGTGTTGACAGGCAGTACCCGGCAGGTGGGACTGCTGTGGGTTGTCCCCGAGATCCTGGTTCTGCTGAACCTGTATTACAGCTTTCTGAGCTGGGTCCCCCCGGCCTGGGAAGCACAGATGTCAGCATGGTTTGAGTCTTCTCAGGAAGTTAGCTCAAAAGAAAGTAATCATTATCTGAATCTTTCATGTGGTTTCTTTTTTTTAATTGAAGTGTAGTTAGTTACCATGTGTCAGTTCCTGGTGTCCAGCATCATGTGCCGGTCAGTCATAGACATACATATGTTCATTTTCATATTCTTTTTCATTAAAGGTTATTACAAGATACTGAATATAGTTCCCTGTGCTCTACAGGAGAAATTTTTTGAAATCTATTTTTATATATAGTAGTTAATACTTGCAAATCGTGAGCTCCCATATTTACCTCTCCACCCCCACCCAAGCGTAAGATCGCCTACTATGTCTGTAAGTCTTTCTGTTTTGTAGATGAGTTCATTAGTGTCTTCTTTTTTCTCGTACACCTGGATTTATAGACTTTTAGAATATTGGTTTGGAAGACGTCAGGGATTATTTAAACTAATTATAAATGGGGAAACATACTCGAAGTCCACGTGTCTTTTCCCAAGTTAATAAAAAAAAAAAAAAAACCAATAGCTTCTCTTGTTTAAGAGCCCAGACCTGCACTAAGCGTTTACCCCCGGAGAAGTGAGAGTTCTAGTCCCCAGAGCTCCCAAGGGATGTTTAATGAGCAGACGGACCTCTTAGACGACTGCCTGACGGAACTTGTTAGATTCTCGTTTGTACATTGATTAAAGGAGTTTCCAGCTCGGTTTCAGTCCTCGTAGTAACTTGTGAGCCTTAGCTGGGTCAGGCTGCCCTGGAGGAGGGGGCGCGAGCGGGGATCGTGGGGAGGGCGGCGGGCTCGCGGGCCGGGTCCCCCGAGCGGTGGCTCCGCTGCGCGGGGCGGGCTGCTCCTCCCGGGGCGACTGCACATCTCCCCGGCGCCGGGCACGCACGGGGGGTGCTCACTCAGTGTTGGCGCTCTTTCTGAATCTGCACTTGCTCTTTGCTAGCCGCTGTTATCTGACTGCAGATGGTGTGACTATGCGCCCAAGCCTCGCCCCCTAGAGACAGGAGAAAACCCCGGGTTCGGGTCCAGGCCGGCGGGCTGGGAGGGGAGAGAAGCGGGGAGGAAGCCACTCGGGGTGAGCGCCCTTTGCGGACAGTAGGTGGGGGCTGTTAGGGAAGAACTCGACTGGCGCCCAAGCCTGACACCCGCCAGGAGACACTGGCTTCGGCTTCGCCCTCCACGCTTCCCGGTGTTCCCGTGCCGCCCCCCCCCGCCCCCGTCCCGTCGGCCGGGCCCGGGCCACGGCCGGCCCACCCGACGTGCGTCGACGACCGACGCGGCGTCGTGACGTACCGTAGACGT